AAACCTAAAAAGTACTACCTTAAAACTATTATGCCCTTGAACAGACCACAACAAGTTTAAAACCAAGTGGAATTGGTCCTCATAACTGATTGTCCTTCTGTTGATAATGGAGTAGCTGAAAATTTAGCTCACCAGCTGCTCTAAATCCCAGAATATTATTATTATTGCAACTTTCCAGGCACTGAAAGATAAATGTTCTCTACTGCACAGGATGCAGTGGTTACAGCTCAGGTGTACTTACTCAAAGCCAGGGATGTTTACACTCCTTGCTTTAAAGACATTGGCTGTGTGTGTGCCATACAGTTGAATATCATCAGAGCAAACTTCTGAGAAAGAAGTCATTGTTCTAGTGTCCATATTCCTTGTCACATTTGTTTGGGGTTGATTACGAGCAGTAATCTTATTTGACAGAAATACAACCCCAAGTCAATGTACATTAGAGCCTGGCCATCAAAGTACTCATTTGCTTTTCAAAGCTCACTAATCCCATAGAGCTGGGCAGAGCGGAGTTAAATTGCAAAATGCCTCTGGAATCCTGGTGTCTGTCACTGGAATAACTCATAGTCACCATTCTTAATTGGAAAGCCCCTTGCAAGGTGTCAGGATTAGACTAGACTATACCCATTCTCCCCTGCTACCTGCATTTATTACTTTCATGGGTAATAAGCAACCCCTGTATGTTAGAAAGCCAGGGAGACAAAGACAAATAAGATGCTGGCTGCCCCCAAGGAATGCATCAGTTTGTGGTTGATAAATAGGAATTTGCTCGCTACCATGGATGCCTACTAGTCAGCTGTAATTCCAATACCAGCATCAGAGTTTTGTGAAGAGGTCTTTCCTTCTCTCCAACATATACTGTTGTACTTTACTCAGGAGTTGCTAGCAAGCAGTCACTTTGCTCAGAAACTGCCAGAGAGCTTTACCTAGAGACCACCAGCCTCCATGCAGGAATCAGCAGGCCATCCAGCACACAAGCAGGCAATCCACACACACCAGACAACATGCATATATTATTACTTGATACTTGCAAACAGCCAGATAGTTATGAGCGAATCATTTCTTGTAGCCATCTGACTTGCTCCACTGTCACCCTCCTTTCACAAGGGAGAACCTGAAATAATGGAGACTATACAGTGGCTGCGAAGGGTCACAGGGACCCTTCGACATTGGACCACATTGGAATTCCTAATCTGCTATGTAAGCCGTGTAGCCTCAGATCACAGGAAGCTCTTCTTCATATGAAATCTCTTATGCAGAATCATGGCACATGAGCCAGATACAGTGGAGCTGCTCAAGGGAAGAAGGAAAGAGCCGGGAGCCCCCTCAGCCTACTCCTCATGGCATCCCAGACTCCGGCTCTGCAGGCATAGTTGGAAAGCCAGTGCACTGGTTTGAGATTGCAAGGAGTGATCGTTAATTCAGTAAGACACCTGACATGAAAAATATGTAAAGCTGTTCCCATATGAACACATGGGTAAAGGAAATGCTAGACAGCTGGGTCTTCTCCTAGCAGGTAATGCCACTAATAAGCAGGCTTGTGTAACACAAGCACATACATATGCTCCATGCACAAATCCGGGCAGCCCTCAACTGCAATACTGCGAGGGTTGTTTGCTAGGATCCCCTTTGTTAGGATTTTCACTGAAATTTCATTACATTTAAATATTAGTTTGGGGAAAACTTATCCTTACTGCTTCTCATCCAAGAATATTGTATATGATAACATTTTGGGGGGTTCCCCTTTACCCTCCTGGGGCTCCCCCAATCTATAATAACTTTATTTATTTATTCTTAACCCTTGACTTGGTGTTGTCAGCACCACGCTCTCCCAAGTGAGCGAACCGGCCATCCCTATATAGGGATCCGAACCCATGGCCTTCGTGTTATCAACACCACGCTCTCCCAAGTGAGCCATGGGCCAGCCCCTATAATAACTTTAAATGTGGAGAGAAGATGCCAGAATATCATAGACTTAGGTAGGGTAGTTACCACAATAACCAGATATATGTTGTTTTCCCCAAACTAATATTTAAATGTAATGAAATTTCAGTGAAAATCACTAAGGAATTTTTTATTCAAACCTGACTTAAAAATCATTGTATAAGGGCCAGCCTGTGGCTCACTCGGGAGAGTGTGGTACTATTAACACCAAGGCCACGGGGGTTCGGATCCCTATGTAGGGGTGGCTGGTTGGCTCACTTGGAGAGCGTGGTGCTGACAACACCAAGTCAAGGGTTACGATCCCCTTACTGGTCACCTTTTAAAATACATAAATACATAAATAAATAAATAAATAAAAATCATTGTATAGTTCACCTGGAAGAACAGCAAAATAAATTTAAAAATTTAATAATAATGGGAGCTGGGTAGATAAGGTCTTAATTTATAATGATGCTATGATAATGAAAAGGGTGGTAAAGGTTCAGGTATAAGAGATGAAATCATCAATGGAATAAAATAGAAATCCCTAAAACAAATCCAAATTACTCAACTTACTAGCAATTTGGCGGAGGAGAGGGGGAGTCAGATCACTACCTCACACACTTCACTGAAAATAAAGTCCATATAGATTATAGATTTAAAGTATAAAACTGAAAGCATAAAAGTGCTAGAGGGAAACATAATGGGTTATTACTTACATAATATTTCCATGGGGAAAGACATTAGGCATTATACTAAAGGCAGAATCCTTAAAAGTAAAAGATTTGACTACATAAATTTAAAGTCCTTATCTAAAATTCTCTAAGCAGAATAAAAGCTACCATTAACAGCTTAGAAGAAAAGCAAAGTCACTTTCAAAAAATATTTGCAACCTAACAAAAGACTAATGTCCTTTATATATAAAGAGCTTACCAGTCAGTAAGGAATAGTATGCCATGGCAAAAGGAAAAAAAGGGTAAAGAATATAAACAGGCTATTCATAAAACAAAAACCAATAAACATTTAAAATATTCACATATAGTAATTGAAGAATCAACAAAAGAAAATCCCATTCTTCACTTTTCAAAATGACAAGTATCTTTTTTTTTTCTGTTAATCCCAACCATTTATTTGAGCAAAATAAGGCTTAATGGCTTACAGCCTCTCCCACTCTATAATGCTTACAAAGGAAAACTTCTAGTCAAGTTATGAATTTATAAATTTCTTATCTATGATTAACTTATGGTAAGATGAAAACTCTGTGGCACAAAGCTAACGGTCTTTCAACAAATACAAATTAAGAGCATAATTTAACAATTTGGGAACACCTAGTTATCAATGCATTCAGATTTAGACAGGATAGCTTTATTTTTTTATTTTTATTTTTTTTAAAAAGATGACCAGTAAGGGGATCTTAACCCTTGACCTGGTGTTGTCAGCACCACGCTCAGCCAGTGAGCGAACCGGCCATCTCTATATAGGATCCAAACCCGGGGCCTTGGTGTTATCAGCACCGCACTCTCCCAAGTGAGCCACGGGCTGGCCCCAGGATAGCTTTATTTTTGAGTAATCATATCCCTAAAAATAACCTTCTGTTTTTTATTTACATGTCTCACCATCACAGTTTGTACAGCGCCAAAGCAAATCCTATTAGAATGATGAGCTCTCATCTGCTAGATACAGATATTACCCTGCTTAGGACCTCATTACCATAATTGTATTTTAGGTGTTAACCTAAGTGGTCCCTTTCGGGAAGCTATCTATACAATAATCAAGAACATAAAATAGAACTTCGAAGGAACAAAGATTGGCTTCTTATAATTACATGATGAAAAAAATTCAGAAATGAACATTTCTGTTTTAAAATAAAATGAATTACAATTAGTATTTTATGTTTTCTTTTGCAACTTCAACCAGCTATTACTTATAAAATAAAAATAATACTTTCATAAACATTAAAGCCTATCATATAAAATTGGTAGCAATAATATCTTCTTTCTTAGTCTCCTTATGTAAATTATCAGTGAACCAATTATTTTCTCTATTCTGCAAAGCCAAATTGTCAATGCAATTGATTTCAGATTTGGCATTTTTTTTTTAAATCACTCAAATACATACAAAGGTTATGCTTTTGGAGAATTATAGGAGCATGAGAGAAAAATTTTTAAGTTATTGCTCTTTCTACCACTAGAGAGTTCTAAGACATTAAGAAGTATTTTTTTTAACCAATGTAAGAATAGTAATGTGCAGAAAAGATGAAAGATTTTTGTTATACAGGGAAATCATTGTGCTGATTCAGACCAGAATCATTTGTGAATTTACATTATGTAAATTTCTTTTTCTTTATATGCTTTTCTTAAAGAGAAACCAGGAAGAAGAGAATCCTATGAAACTAATAAACCATCCAAGGTGCTTTCAAATGACTTGTTTTTGTACAGAAACTTCTGAGCAATCACACTATTAACATAATGAAGTTCTTTTGGGTGGTTGGGCATCTTTCCTTCACTCCTCCTCTTCTTCTGGCAGACCTGGTGAACTTAGCTAGACAGATCTCAGGGGAAGGGCACTCGTGAATGGAGAGGCCTACATCTCCTCTGAATTTTCTTCTCATGGCCAAATTAGCTGGTCTCCGTCCATGGATAAGGAGAAGATTCATCATAAAAATAAAAAATACTTAAAAGAATTGTTGAAATTTCATTTTTTCTGCCACACAAAACTGGAGCAATAGTTCTCAAAGTAAACCAAATGGTCTGTGAATAGTCTGTGCAGTATCTGTGTGGCTCTCCTCACATTCTAATGACAAACCTCAAAAAACTGCCAGCTGCATTTTCCAGAAAGGTTAATGATCACATTGGACAGGATTAAAAGTTTCTTAAATAATACCCAACATCAGCAGCAGGATTTGGACTGCTGACATATTACTGCTGTAGGTGTGATTCAATTATTTTCATTAAGATAAAAAAATTGTGTTTAAGAGAAAAAAATGAATGACTTAAAAAACAATCTATAAGGATATTAGAAACCTAAGATGTTAATACCTGTGTATCTTGGGTCATTGCTAGGAGCAGTAAGCTCCTTACCTGGCAGACAGTTTGCATCCCTGTAGCAGGTAAGCATTCAGATTTCCAGTTGCCGCAAGTAACAGCCCCAGGTATGGAGGGGAAGGCTTCATCGGCCTAGAAGAAAACTCGGGATGGAATTGGACACCAACAAAATAGGGATGATCTGAAATGAGAACAGCCATGACGCGATTGAAGCAGACAAACATGAGAACTGCTTTCAAGTTCTTCTTATCTTTGAATAAGAAAACATAAAATGGTAAGACGATTATTTAATTTGTTATCATCATAGTCAGTTGCTTTCATGATCCATTTCTGAGTAGAATTCCAAATTGCAAAATTCACCTCACTCAGTAAAAGACACAAATTTTTGTTTGTGGAAAGTGTTAAAGTGAGCCTTCTGAAGGTCCTTCATGGACTTCAGACTGCTATATTTCCTTGGTGTCCCTCAGACTTTAGGATAACCCTGGGTCATTCATTCTCTTAGATGGCTTCAGGCCATTTCCTACAAGGTCTTGTCCTCTCCCAGAGAAGGGTCTCCTGGGACAAACCAACACAATGCTGACCCAGTGTACTGGGAATTCCCAGTCCCTGGGAATGCAGCAAGGACAACTACTTTTCTAGTCACAGCTTCACATTGGATATTAATCCATAAAACCAGACTGGTGCTCATATTTCAGCCTATGCCAACTTATCCCTTGCAATGAAGAGTCTCTGTGTGATAAAAGGATGGCCTTTCAACCCATTAATGGTGGTGATGGCTTGAGGCAGCAAGAGTTCAAGTTATTTTTTTCTTCCATATGCTTTTCTGTATTGTGTGAACCTTTACAATGAGCATATATTACTGACATTATTGGGGGGAAAATTAAGCTCTTTTCATGAGGGTTGGAAGAAGCCTCTATATGAGCAATTCGAGTCTCCTAGAGGTAATAGAAACAGAAAAGTAGCTTTTCCCAGGTATCTGGAATCCCATTTTGGAATGGTGAGAATTAAATGGACATTTCCAAATCTGAGTAGAAATTTTCCAGGACTCCAAATTCTTTCCCATGCAATCAGAACGCTAAAAAACTATGTTTATTCCCATAGTAGGAAGCACATAGTTTGGGCAACTCTCTAACCCCTTAATTACTATAGTACAGAGCATGATCAGTATGCTGTATTCCCAACTTTGAAAAATCATTTTAATTGCTATAGGTATCAAACTGAAGATAATAAAATATAATCAGTTTTATAGGAGGAAGTAAATATAACTTTAAAGCTTTCAATGAGATGCTTTATCAAATTATCTAAAAATCTACTATGGAATTCAAATCACAAATTCCCATCACTTACCACTGGAGACCCAAAGCTACTGCTACAATAATAAGGAAATGATGATTGAATTTCCTTCTACACTCCTACGGGTATCATTTAAAGCTCTGCTATACAAAATGGTAGTCACTAGCCACATGTGGCTACTTAAATTCACTAAAAGTAACTGAGCATGTTTCAAGTGCTCCCTAGCAACATGTGACTAGTGGCAACCATATTGAACAGGCAGAATGGTTCCATCATTGCAGCAAGTTCTATTAGGCAGCTCTGATCTCAGAAAAATCCAGTGTAGAAATCTTCTACATCTAAGAAAAAGCCTCCTTGAATTAAAGGGACACTCATCTTCTCCCAGGAATGTGTCCCCTCAAGAAAAGAAGTCATCTGCACTTAGAGAAGAAACTGAGCAACGTAGCTTTAAATATAAGACATGATAAATCTTACAGCATAGCATCTAGGGATGACTTTGAAAGAAGCAGACAGTAATTGTGTTTTTGTGCCACTACAGACAGAAGCTGAGTGAGGGATCATGTCATAGCCAGGAACAGAATATTTCAATGACTGAAGCGTTGCTCTGAGTCACTATCGAAAAAAATCATCTTTGCCCATATGAGGACAGACTAAAAAAGTTTTTATTTTGATGCTGTTCTATCAGTCAGACAAAGTGCCTTTAAAATAATGCTCTTAATTGCTTTGAACCAAATTCTGACTGACATTATACTAATCTCAAACTTTGTTGTTCCTATTAGGTCCCTTTAGGAATGGTAGAGATTCGTGGATATGCTTCTAGGGGGTACCTAAGATCAAAATCTTCTGGAGGATTTTCCTTAATAAAATGAATTCCCTTGCAATCAGCTTTTTAAAATTGCAAGGTTTTATAGTGGCTCTCATTTCCTTTCCAATCCATGTGAAATTTGAAAGCGTCAATGGGAATCTATATCCTCGTGATGAAAGAGACTTGTGTTTGCTGGCAGTGATGAGAACCAGGAGAATTATGAGAAAATAAGTCCATGAACAAAGTAAACAAATACAGTCATCCTTGGGATCCTTTAGGGATTGGGCCCAGGACCCCATGGATACCAAAATCCTCCTATGCTCAAGTGTAGTATTTGCATATAATCTACATGCATCCTCTGGTATACTTTAAATCATCTCTAAATTAATTATAATACCTAATACAATGTTATTGCTATGTAAATAGCTGTTAATGCTATATCATTTTTAAATTTGCGTTATTTTTTACTGTTATTTTTTATTGTTTTTTTTTCCCCAAATATTTTCAATCCACGGTTGGTTGAATCTGCAGATGCAGAACCCACAGATATGTAGTAATTTGCTCAAGAAATTATCTGCCCTCTTACATGCTAGAAAGACTTAAGAGGCTCCAATACCAAACAGTGATCCAGACTTTAATTCTAAATGATGGGCATTTCCCATCCAGAAAGACTCCTGGTAATACATCCTCACTATTCTAATTCAAAACTCTAGGCATGGATTGATAATCTTAGATGGAGAGCCCAATGAAAACAAGAGGAAAATAAAACCCCACATGGGTGTGGCAGAAGGAAGCAAGGACCTGGGTTTGCTCCAGCCCCGCCTGTGACTACTAGATGGCCCTGCACAGGTTACTTGGCCTCTCTGCACACCAGTCTCCTCTGTACGGTGAGAATAACATCGCATGCTTTCTAAGTTACATTGGAATGCAGAGTCCCTAGCGAGAGGTCTAGTGACAAGCATCTAGTGAGTGCACACTACATGTCCATTGCTTTCCCTCTTTCAGGGTCCAGGTAAAATGCTACTATGTTCAAAGCAGCCTTGTCTGACTTCAATTCTCTCCCTGCTCAGGACTCCTTACGTACTTGAACAGATTAAAGACAGAAAGGAAAGAAACAGAGACAAGGCATTTGAAGGAGAGAATAGTGGCATAGGCTAAGATGGAGAAAAAAGCAGCAAAGTTAGAAAAAGAGTCACTAGTCCAGTTTATCAGGAGCCTAAGTATATAGGCTGAAAAGTAGGTTCTAGAACATCATGCTACCATTTTCAGAGTATCCTGTACATACTTAGCATTCAATAAATAAGAGTGGCATACCAATAAATTAGCGTCACCCGCACTGCACAGCCAGAGCCTTGTCCTTGTTAGGAGGTACTGGAGAGGGGAGAGCCTAGAGGCAGGAAAGGACTAGAGGACAGGTCTGGGTCGGAGTCACCATGCACCAGGACTAGGGTGGTAGGGATGGGAATGCAATCCCAAGCATGGTCTTTCTTTCCAGAGGCAGAATCTACAGGACTTGACAACTGATTACAGGTTGGAGTATGAAGGGGAAGAAGAGCTAATAAGTCCAATTTCAAGGCTGATGGTCTAAGAGAGTGGTTCACAACCAGGGGCAAATGTGCCCCCAAGGACATTTGACAATGTCTGGAAATGGTTTGGGTTGTCACAACTGGAGGTGGGGAGATGGGGAAGGAGATGCTACTGGCATCTAGTGAGTAGAGGCTAGGCCAGGGGTACTGCCAAACACCCCACAGTGCACAGGACAGTCCCCACCACAAAGAATGAGCCCGTTCCAAACATCAATGGTAGGAAGGGGGAGAAACCCTGGATGAGGAGATGGACAATACGTTCACAGAAATAGTCAGGAGGAAGAACTAGTGTGGAGAGCATGTAAATTGAGCTTTAAATAAGTTGAGATGGAAGTGTCAAGAGAACATCCAGATAAACAGGACAAGCAGGCACCTGGAAATGTTAACTTCGAGTTAGTTAAATGAAGTGTATCCATGGGGGTCTACACCAGGGGTTGGCAACACTTCTGTAAAGGGCCAAGTAAAGCAAATATTTTAGGCTCTGCAGGTCATAAGGTCTCTTTCCCAACTACTCATCTCTGCCAGTGTAACATAAAACGCAGCCACAGATAATACATAAATGAGTGTGGCTGCTGTTGGGGCTCAGAAAACACTACCCCAGAATACTATGAACTGCAGGAGATTGAGAAGGCTTCAGAAGCAAGATGGTCACTCTGACCTTCCCCACCTTTCTGCGTGAGAGCTGGCCGTAAATTCTCTGACCTACCTCACCTCATAGTAGGTCATAAGACCCTCATTCCAGAGGGTCCTGTCCCATACCCAGAGGAAGGAATGCTGCACAGAGGGGCCAGGAACAATCTGAACAGACAGGCCTTGCTGGGTTCTCCCCCTCAGTCTATCACTATCAGATCATATCCTTTTGTCCAATCACATTTCCACACAGCTGTTCATTTGCAATCAAACCTAAGTATAAAAAGAGACAGTTTTCCCTGGATCTTCAGGTCTTCATTTTTAAAGGCTCCTGTGTCATGTAAAACTCAAATTAAATAGAATTTATGCTTGTCTTTTGTCATAGGAGTGTCGGCTGTGACCCTTAGGATGGATGGGGGTGGAAAAGGTAACACCTTTCTGCCCTTGCACTGTGTCCCAATAAAACTTTATTTATAGACACTGAAATTTGAATTTTTTATGATTTTCAAGTGTCACAAATACTATTCTTCTTAAAATTCCTTTTAAGCATTTAAAATATAAAAGCCATTCTTATCTCATGAGCTGTTTTACAAAACAGACTTCAGGCTGGATTTGGCCCCCACGCAGTAGTTTGCCAACCCCTGGGCTAGAACGTTAAGACAAAGGGCTGAGACCAGCTGTGACCTTGGGCTCGCCACGTCCTTGCAGATGGGAGTGAGAACACTGCCTTCTGTCTCGTCAATAATGAATATAAGGTTTGTACCTGTGCTCCCAGCCCAGCCACAAACGACTTCTTCGGTGCTTTTTCTCTATAGCAGTCCCATCCTTTTGCCTGTGTTCTCTTTGGTCTTAGAAAGAACTCTGAGTGCAGCAGTTAGTGTTCAGAAGTGAAATGACTGGCCCGAGGTTGACCATGGAGCAGGAGCCGTGGGGACGGGCAGGAGAGGAGCCAGGCCCCTCACGCCACAGACATCAACCCCAGTCGCCAGCAGCGAGGGGGGCACTTGGCCATCCTTCCTCAAAGCAGGAGAGCAAGCAGACAGCCCCCCAGCAGAGAGCCGTCTGCTTTCCCAGAGCACCCGACCTAGAGGCTAGCACACAGGAGAAACCCCAGAAGGCGGTGGGTTCAGATTAATAGCACCATAATGATCAGGGCTATAAGCAGTCTGTTTCTCCATGCACTTTGTAGTTGCTTAGAGACTTCAAAGGAGAAAGGAAAAGACAGAGAGCAAACAAACTGGTCTCAAATCAGTCTGCGGTCCACAAAAAGATGTTAGCTCACCACGAAGCTTTTCAAAATCAAAGAGCCCACTTACTTGCCAGTTCGATGATTTCCATCCTCTCCCCAGCCACATCGTGACCTACAAACTTTAAGTTCTTCTGCTCAAATTGGCTGATGAAGTTAGAATTCACCTGGAAAAACAAGAAATGAAGTGTCTTTGGGCCACGGTGCCATATAGATATATCAGTTTATGGAAAGTTTCCTCATTGACTGGGTAGATTTTCCATTTCAGGAATCCTCTAGCTGGCAGTTAATTTCTCTATTCAATGCCCAAAGCCTAATTTTAAACTCATGGTGAACCTGAGATATAAAGGCTAATCACAGCCCCTAAATCTGAGAGACCCACCTTCTATCACCCAAAGATGAGATTCAAAAGTAGGACAGTGACACAGATATTCTGACTCGGAACCTCGAGACTAGCTATGTATAGCCGTCCCCATATTTGTTTCTTCTCTTGAGTAACGTGTACTTAACTCTCTCTCCCCAAATCACAAATCTGCTGGAGGATTCAAACAATCTTATTTCCCTTGTGACTAACCCCAGTGCTTTCTTTACATGTAGTTACATAAAAGTTCTAAAGAGAAGCTTGGAGCAACTTTTCTACTAAAATGCTGGTTAGGGACGACAACTTGCTGAGCTAGCTCACGGCCGCGTCCCTCACTCATGTCACCGCTAGCCTTTTCCCAAACTTGAGGGCTCCTTCTCGGCCTCTCCTTCACTGAAAGTGCTTCTCCATCTAAAATCAAAGCAGGGTCCACCAGTCCTTTGTCATCTTAACCCCACATGCTTTCATTTTACCTTTTTAACATTATCCCAGTTCTCAAAATATGTAACTTTTTCCTTTTTTAACAGCTTTATCAAGATCTAATTCATATTCCATACAATTCACCCATTATTAAAGTATACAATTTAATGCTTTTTAGTATATTCACAGAGGTGTTTAACCATTACCACAATCAACTCAAAAATAAATCCTGTACCCTTTAACCATCATCCCCTATCAGGCCCAGCCCCTGGCAACTACTAATCTACATTCTGTCTCTATAGATTTGCCTATTCTGGCCATTTCATATTAATAGAATCATACCATATGTGGTTTTTGGTGACTGGCTTCTTTTACTTAGCATAATGTTTTCAAAGTTTATCTACGTTGTAGCATGGATCAGTACTTCATACCTTTTTGTGGCTAAATAATATTCCATCCTATGGATATACCACATTTTGCTTATCCGTTCATCAGTTGGTAAACATTTGCTTCTACTTTTTTGACTATTACGAATAATGCTGCTATGATCATTCATATACAAGTTTTAGTGTGGACATATGTTTTCATTACTCTTGGGAATATACCTACAAGTGAAATTGCTGGGTCATATGGTAACTCCATGTTTGAGCTTTTGAGAAACTTCTAGATGATTTGCCAAAGTGGCTGCACTGTATGGCATTCCCACCAGCAGCACAGGAAGGCTCTAATTATGCCATATCCTCACCAACTTGTGTTATTGTCTGTCTTTTGATTATAGCCATCCTAGTGGGTGTGAAGTGGAATCTTATTGTGGTTTGATTTGCATTTCCCCAATGACTAATGATGTTGACCATCTTTTCATGTGCCTATTGGCCATCTGTATATTTCTTTGGAGAAATGTCTATTCAGATCCTTTGCCACTATTCACTATTGAGGTATAAGAGTTCTTTAGGCTTCCAGTCAAGATGGCGGAATAGACAGTTTCCAGAATCACTCTCTCCCACAAATCAACCAATTTACAACTATAAAATAGCAACAGCCAAGCTGGGGCCGCAAGAGCTCAGGGAAAGAGGAGGAGAGACCTACAGAGTGCATGAAGGCAGGAGAAGCCACGATGAGAGAAAGAACTGCTCCAACCATTTTGTGCCACGGCCGCTTTAAGGCTAGAGCTGCTGAGTGCATGGAGCAAGCACTGGCAAAAGCCACAGCTGTGCCCTTCAGATGGAGTTGCTTGGAGGCAGCAGGGGAGAAGAGGGCCTTAGTGGCCCCCAGGCCAACAGAACCACTAATACGGTTCCCATGGACCCACATAGGAGTGAGGAGCCAGGACAACTGAAAAAAAGGAGCCACTCAGAGGCCAGTGAGTCATCACAAGGGACGACTGGCACATGACCCATCCCATGGGAAATGTTTGCAGCACAGGCAGTGGGGGAGATGGGCCCACTGGGGAAACACTGAGGCACAACAAGTACAGCTGATCTGCCTCCCAATCAGCATAGAACCACTCAGAGGAGACTGGTCAGGAATATAGAATTGCATGGTGTGTAGTTTGATGATAAAACTCAGGCCCAGATCAGAGTTTCTATACAACCCAAGTACACCAGGTATCCAGAGAGCTGGAAGTACCTATAAAGTCAGCCACTAAAACCTGAGCTACACAAAAAGCTTTCCCTAGGGAATCAGCAGCAAAGCAGCAACTTAGCTAAACCACACAGCTCAAGTACTGGTCCTCACAGGAAGTTCCCCCATTTTAGAAGTAAGCAAAGGGCAAAAAATTAGTTCTGGCCCAGGCACACCACCAGCACCTCCAGGCCCACCCAGGGACCTGAGGAATAGAGGCAGGGACCAGACCCCCCCCCAACAACCAGGCACACTGCCAGTGCCTCAGGGCCCACGCAGGGTCCTGAAGCATAGAGCCAGGGACTATACTCCCGCACACCGACAGCACCAAGGAGCATGCCAAAAACATCAGTTCCATGTGTGTGGCCCACCACAGCCACTACAATAACCATTGCTGCCGCAAAAGCGGCTAGACACCACAATCACCACACATATGGTCCGCCAACCCCTGGAGTGCACTGACACAAGGGGAGTCACCAGCAGAGACCAAAGAAAAGAAGAGAATGTCTTTCTCCACACAGCCCATTCCAGAGTGACAGAGAAGCATCTGCTCTACAATGATATTGGGGGACCTGATCACACCTCTCAGCATTGGACAGATCATCTAGGCAACAGATCAACAGAGTAACCATTACTCTTTCAGAAGGAGAGAAGAAATCTAGGGTAATTAGGTGGGGGAGGGATAGGGGGGTGGGGAGAGATTGGACAAGGGGCATAAAGAATAAGTATAATTTGTAACAATATATATGCAAGTAATATTGATTTGATCAACATTGAACCCCCAAAATATGTATAATCAATTATGATTCAATAAAATTTTTTTTAAAAAGAGTTCTTTAGATAGTCTAAATATAATTCCCTTATCCAATACATGATTTAATCTGTAATTATTAAGTTATCTTATTTTGTGTCCTCTCCAATTAGAATGTAAGCTTCCGCACAGGAGGGAGACCATTTCTCTTTCCCCCTTCCGTCTCCAGTACATACCAGATGCACAAGAGGTGCAATGAATGAATGGCCACACTATTGTGTGCACAGCAGTTTTCATACCTTCTCATCACCACTTAGGAAAAACAGCTGAATAGTTTTTACACCACCAGTTGGGCCAGTTGCCAGTGGAAATAAGACCAAAGATGGTCTACACTCAACAAATTATGTTCCTTCATCATAGTGACACTGTTCGTAACCTACCCAGCATTGATATTCCTGGGTCCTTCTTCAAAACAGAGCCCTGGGCTTGTTCTGGTATCCATACCACCCCCACATGCCCATGGGACTCAATCTGTCCCACTTCAGAAGCTGTTCCTAATTGGTTTAAAGACAAATATAATAAACCCATCCTTTTTGGCAGACGAATGTTGCAAGAACCCCAGGTTTAAGCCCACTGACATTCAGCATTGCCCTGGAAATGGTTACTAGTTCACAGGTGGGCAAGTAATCCAAGTTGATCCAATCAGACTGAAGAAAAATGCCCTGTCTGGAAGAGACGCATGTCATCTCAGCTGCTGCTTGCAGCTATCTGGCAACTATGGGGGACAGCCTGAGGGCAATGCAGACACACAGACCAGGGTGAGGCCAAGAGAATCACAGAGACAGCAGGAAGCCTGACTGTGCCATGCCTGGAGCCTGTGCCATCCTGGACTACCTGTTACCTGAGAGAACAAATGTCCTTATTGTTTAGGATGGTTTGAGTGAATAACAAGCAGGAATTTCTGTTCTTTGTAGCCAAAAGCATCATAATTGCTGCACTCATTAATCTTGGCATAGGCGATCTTCATTTCCGGAAACCTACACTTCTCAGGTGGCATTCTCAACAATGAACTTCTCTTAATCATGTGACACTAAGCCTCAAGCTCAATGTAAACTTCCAAAAGGGTTCCCAAACCAAGAGTCTACCACATGATACCCCAGGATGCACCCCTATTTCGAAAAACACTTGGTTCCCTTTCAGAAGATTCAAGTCTCCTTTTCGCAAACCTGGCAAAATAAAGGGCAGGGGCTAAGGATAAGGAATGACGACTTTATCTTGGTCTAGGAGACAGGAGTTAGAGCGACAAAGAATGCTGATAGGCTCCACGTGCAGATACTTAGAGATTCTGCCTTTGGAAAGCCAGGAAGAGCAGTCTTCCCACTGCCACCCCCCTCCTCTGGAAGTGGGAGACTGTGGGAATCTGGCACGCCCTCCCTGAGCACTACAGACACCATGGGGCTGACACCTTTTCCAGAGGGCTTGCTTATAATCACTGGGGTTCCTCACACTGAGCATCCATATTCCACTGTGATTTAATGTGAAAGCCATACCTCATACCGATGTCTGTGTCTTTCTTCTATAAAAGGAACATCACCATAAAGCTTCCCTGTAAAGATACAAGAGTAAAATTAATACTGGAGTAATCAGCTTTAGAACCATGTCCACGGCGTATGTACAGAGGAAGCCTCTTTGATCTCCCTCTGTCTATCGGAGGCCTAAAAATGAACTAGACTCCGGATAGTAATCTAGATTTTCTTCTTTTCTAGTACAGGACAGTGATAGCTTCTTCCAAACCCTAAAGCAATTCTTGAGTAAGCCACCACTATTGCTTACAGGGAAGCACACTGTGATCCAAGGGCACGTCCGAAAGTTCATGGAAACATTCATATTTATCTTTTCATTCTATTTTTCCACGGACTTGGGAAAGTATCCTCATACAAGTCCACCAGGGAACCCAGATCTGCCCTTTTACAGCCCTGCCTGCAGGACTGGCAGACTGCTACATTCACGCCATCACTTCAGTGCAGATTCATAGTGAAGCTCATTTTACAAAAGAAGAAAGCAAAACCATGGGCAGGGAAGTGGCACACCCACAGCCCTGCCTGCTGGGCAGCACCATCCATTTTGGGCCCAGTGCTTCTCCATTACACCAGCCGCTTCCGTATTTTCACCTGCCACTGGCCACGGGAGTCCACGCCCCACCTCAAAAGTAAACCTATGCTTTGATGTCTGGCTGAGAATCATCTGTGGAGCTGCTTAAACATGCCCACATAGCCCAGCTGCTGCAGCTCAAGGCAGTGTCTTGGGCAGGACCTATGTGGCGATGGGCACAGTGTTCAGTGACATGCTGAGTGACCACAGTGTCAGGTGAACAGGAGTCAATCCCTCACCAAACACCTCTCAAGAATGGCCCCATTGGAGCATGTGGAGAAGCAGGATGGCCCCAAAACCAAGTGGGTTAGAGCACTGGAGCAGTCTGAGGGGACCAGTGACTATTCCCACAACACCAGTCCTCAGAATGCAAACCCCAGGCACACAGCCAAGGGACAAGAAGATATTGGTGCCAGAAGTCATCTTAAACTCCAACAGAATCAGGAACTGTGCTCAATTCGACAGGCAGGGGATAATCAGACTCTCAAAAACATCATGAGGTTGGAAAAGGGTTTTTCAGCAAAGAAAAGACCAAATAACTGCCTTGTGTTTCATTTGAGCTTTTGACTTGGATCAAGCAAATGCAGATCACTTGCATTCGCATATGACTCTCTGTGATCAGTGATCACAACTGAACTTCTGTTTCCAATTCTATTTGTGTAGACCGAGCTCCCTGGTGATGATATGAATGGCAGTGAATATTTAAGGTATGTGTTTTAGAAAAAAGAGGAATAGTGGGGGCAGGGAGCTCCTTTGACAGAGCTGCAACATACCACTGAGAGAGGGGTCAGTCAGGACAGCCTTTGTACTAAAACTTTGGTTCATAAAAAGTAAAGGAAAAATGGGAAGTAAAGCACAATAATATACAATGGGAAAACATGGAGGCATGTCTATCATCAGGAAGTTAGAGAAAAAACAAGTTGAACAATCTGGACCTAACTTTGAAAGGATTTTAAGTCTCCTATGACCTCTGACTTTGTCACTGATCTTTTTCTATAAAGTCCTAAATTTCTATTCTGCTTCTTTCATGACAAGAGATGACACAGAAAATCCAACAGCAGAATCTGCTGACATTATCACCAAAGATGGTGAGGAAAATGGCACAAATCTCCAAATTAGAATATAAGGAATTACACCTTTGTATCATCAGGACTAGCAGGATATCGTGCAGACTTTTGGAGTAGCATGGTTTATGAGAGCTGCCTGGCTTAAGGCAGACTCTTGTTTGCTAAGATATCTCAGAGGTGACAGGAAGGAGGCAAGGGGATGTAGTGACTCTGGAGCCAGACTGCCTGGCTCTAAATTCCACTACACCATTTAACAGATGTGTGGCTTGGGCAAATTACTGAACCTCTCTGCCTCAGTTTCCTCACCTGTAAAATGGGGATTATGGGCTGACTGGTTAACTCAGTTGTTTAGAGTGCTGCCTTGTAATGCCAAGGTCAAGGGTTCGGATCTCTGTATCAGCCAGCCACCAAAATAAATACACATTGTTGGGCAACCAATCTCCAGAACTCTTTTCATCTTGCAAAGTTGAAACCCTGTACCTATTAAACAACAACTCTGCATCATCCCAGCCCCGACACCCAGCATTCTACTTTCTGTCTCTATGGATCTGACTACTCTAGCTACCTCATAGAAGTGAAATCACACAGTATTTGTCTTTCTGTGACTAGCTTCCTTCACTTAGCATAATGTCTTTAAGGGTCATCCATGTTGTAGCATGTGACAGGATTTCCTTCCTTTTTAAGGCAGAGTAATATTCCATTATGTGGATATACCACATTTTGGTTATCCATTGATACATTTGGGTGGCTTCCACCTTTTAACTTATATAGCTTTTTGGGGGGAAATTTTATGAGACAGAATCTACCCAGTAGTGAACTAGACAAACAGATGATATAATTTGTTTTCAAGGTGTTCTCAAATAGAATTTAACCAATAGCATTCTGAACCAATTCTCAGCATAAAATTTTATTTATTTACTTATTTATTTATTTATTTATTTATTCATTCATTCATTCATTCATTCATTCATTCATTCATTTGAATCATAATTGATTATACATATTTTGGGGGTTCAATGTTGACATATGTTGATTAAATCAATATCACGTTCATATATACTGTTACAAATCATACTTATTTTTTATGCCCCTTGTCCAATCTCTCCCCATCCCCCTATCCCTCTCCCTCTAATTAGCTTAGATTTCTTCTCTCCTTCTGAAAGAGTAATGGTTACTCTGTTGATTTGTTGCCTAGATGATCTGTCCAATGCTGAGAGGTGTGATCAGGTCTCCCAATATTATCATAGAGCAGATGCTTCTTCTGTTACTCTGGAATGGGCTGTGTGGAGAGAGACATCCTCTTCTTTTCTTTGGTCTCTGCTGGTGACTCTCCTTGTGTCAATGTACTTAACACTACTGAACTGAACACTTAGAAATGGTTAAGATGGTAAAGTTTATGGTATATGTATTTTACCACAATCAAAAATTTTAAAAATGGGGCCGGCCTGGTGGCGCACTGGAGAGTGCGCTGCCTGGGAGCGCAGTGGCGCTCCCACCGAGGGTTCGGATCCCATGTGGAGACCAGTTCCCGCTCACTGGCTGAGCGCGGCGTGGGCGCAACACCGAGGGTTGCGATCCTGTTGCCGGTCCCCGGTACGGGCGCGACACCGAGGGTTGCGATCCCGTTACCGGTCAGTAAAAAAGACAAAAAGGAAAAAAAATTTTTAAATGGGGAAGGAGGGTTAGGGAGAAATTGGTAAAGGGCCACACAAAAAAAAAATGTTTACATTGCATAATGATAAAATTTTAAAAAATAATAATAATAACTAAAAAAATTTTAAATAAAAAATAAAAGTTATACTGCTCCACTCTTGCCCCCCAATTTCCTCCTCCTCTGACTCACCCCTTATCCAAACCTCCCACTCCCACCCTTTGCTGCCTGACTTTCATTTCTGTTATTTTATAGAACTACTCTCTAAAATTCAGCAGGTCTGGGGTGTGCCCATTTACCTATTCTTCATCCTCAGCCAGGGACCTCTGCCCAAGACTGTACCCTCCCTTCCTCACCCACATTCACTCCCCGGAAGCTGTCACCCATATGCTGTTGACTCCCACTATACCTTCTGATCCTTATCTTTTACCTGGCCCCACATCTCCTATTTCCAGTGGGCTAAAGGAAATCACCCACATCGTCTACAAAAAGTAAAATCATTACTTGATGGGCTTCATTGCCTCTTTTCTCTAGGTAGAACTATTTGCTTTTGCACAAACATCTTTTAACTACTACACCAGTGTCTTAATTTGATTCACTTTAAGACTGCCTAGACCCATGCCCTGTGCTAATTAAGCATTTTAGGAGCCAGAGTTCTCTATGGATGTGCAAGGATTTGCTGGTGTTTGTTTAATTCAGAGATTCTAAGAGGCTGCCCAGGGTGCAGACATTTGGCGTATTTGGCTTGCATAGTGTTGGCAGACACACATACTTTAAAAATTTAAATAAGTTGCCAACATTTACAAATCAGGAGATTTCACATAAATCTCCAGATTTTCAGATTCTCTGGAAAATTTAAGACTGGCAGCAGTGAACCCACAGTTCTTCATGCAACTATCACCTGTGCCAGTTACTCGTTTCATGGGGCACATGCTTGTCAATTTGCCACAGTCCCCACCACTCCCTATTGCCTCTCTCGCCCTGAGGCCCAGCATAGCTGCTGCTGACTATCAAGTGTGAGCTTCAGCATCTCTCACAGCTGACTGTCTATATTCCCTCCTTGGTCCTACTAGCCTAGCTGCTCAGTCCAATGATGATTCAGTGCTCACGTCCCTCCTTAAGCTAAGTCCTGTGGTTTCGGACTGGCTTTCACAGGAGGCCTGGGGCACGGTCTTCACTTTCGGTGCCCCTTGCTCTTCTCCCACGAGACACTCCTCCTGGAACCTATAGAACCTTGTCTCAGTGCTCTCAGCAAGAGGTGGCCTTCAGTTCCTGGACGTTTGGGGTTTTCCATCCCCTCTTTGATCAAAGATCCAGCGATTCGGCATAGTGAGGTGGTCAAGAGTCAGTTCAGTGACTTTCTAACAAGTGACTTGGATGAGTGACTAAACCTTGCTCTTTCTCTTGTGCAAAACGGTGGCTGGATCCTGGGGGTATTGAGAAGAATAAGTGAAAAGATGCCCGTAACATCTTAATTATTGGTGCTAGGAAAGTGTGGGGTCAGTGCCAGCCACTAGCTTCTCCTTCTTTATTTACTGCTTTTGGCTTTTAGTATGTCATTCCTCCAATTTTTATAAAACAACTCATTTATTTTAAGAATCTAAACGTTGGCCAGCTAGCTGAGTTAGAGAGAGCGCGGTGCTGATAACACCAAGGTCCAAGTTCCATCCCTGTACCTGCCAGCCGCCAACAAAAACAAAAACCAAGAACCTAAACTCCTCCCCTTTCCCTAACTTT